CTGTCCCCACCACCACAGCATCTGGGCCCCTCACAGTCTTTACTCACCCCTGTGTGGCAAGGCAATGCTCATATACCCATTCTGCAGATGAGGAAACTGAGGCACAGTGAGACTCAAGTGACTTGCCCACGGTCACTCTGTAGCAGACCAGGGAACTCCCATGTCCCAGTCTAATGCCCTAACCACTGGCCAATCCTTCCTCTGTTAGAGCTTGTTTGTGTCTCCTCCGCCCCAGCTGGGCATTGGAGATGTGGGGACACGCCTCACGCCAGCAGGGGCTCTGTGCTTGGCCAGGCTTAATGCCTGCTGCGACACCTGGGAGCACAGCTGCTAGATCAGCTTTTTCCCTGCCCTGTGCGAGGTCGGTGCTGTGGGCGTGCGCAGCTGGGGAGCAGCACTACCACCTCACCCCCTGGCAGAGGGAAAGTAGAGCCCCGATTCAGCAAAGCACGTAAAGCACCTGCTTGACTTTCCACACACGCCTCGTTGCTGAATCAGGCACCAGCACTGCAGAGTTTACAGGACGCTGATTGCGTCCAGCCCCCGGCCTGGGGTGGGGTGCATGGGAGAATCCTTGCCCTCTCCCCTCTTGCACACCCATGCCGGATCAAGCTGAGATAAGCCCTGAGAGTAGCTCTGCAGAGAATGGAGATGCTTAATCGATCTGATCTGCTGGCAGATTTCGTTCCAAGCACGTGCACTTTTCCTTGGCATCCTTCAGGATAATGCACATGGTTTGCTGTCCAGTGGTGACACAGATGCCCCAGAAATATATTACTGACTTTCTCAGAGTACAAGAACCAGGAAGTTACTGGCTGTCTGAGCTTTGGAGGCTGCACTCTTCTGGCCTATCGAGACTTAACACGCCTGCATTTCTCCTGCTCAACAAGCCCAGGTGGAGCGCCAATATAATTTCATGGAGGAGTCGGGATTTCTGAAGACTAGGAGCAAATCCAAGGTACTGCAGAAGACAGCACAGCACTTGAATAGACACATGTACATCTCCATGGCATAGACAGTCCAACAATGCAGGCAGCAAGGTCCCGCTGAGCTGCCAGACGCAGACTGGGAGTGAAAGTGAAACCCTGGATGTAGGAGCATTAACCAGCCGCCCACTCAGCAGATTAAATTACGGCCAGACTGTACACCATGCAAACCTTTGATCTTTGATAATCCATCTGCCGAACGCCAAGACAGGACTCAGATACTGAGATTCTGAGGCCTTAAACTCTCTGAAGACAAACCCTGAACAGACCGTGATTGGCATTCGGGCTCCTTTGGGGAGCAGATCTTGCATTTCTAGGGATTAAATTCCCACTCGGGCAGTATCCACAGAGAGATCTGGATGTATTATCCCCAAAAGGCAGGAGAAAAATGAGTCAATTGGGCAGAGAGTTTTACCTCCAGGACCCCGAATCAGAGATCAGGAGCTAAGTAACTCTTTAAAGAAAAACACGTGTTCCTCATTTAATGGAAAGGGCTGTTAAAAAAAAAGGGGGGGGGGGAAGCAACCCAACCCTTAGATACTAACACTGCAAGGAGCTGTGATTGCTACACAGGAAACCTCACGTGCTCTCCTATCTTTTCCTGTTAGTCTTGATCGGATGGAACATCTGGGAAACCACGGTGAACCACTCTGACCCTTGTGACAGTTAAGGCAGACAAGGAGTATCAAAAAGAGTAAGTCTCTGCATTCTCTAACGAAGAGGCAAACTCTCCAAGGCTGGGCTACAGTGCCAGCCTCTCGCACGTCTCCCTTATTTTGCACTTAGATTTGATTAAAGTTTGCTATCCTGAATACACCTTAACACCAGTGACATACAAGCATATGATTGATGCAAACATGAAATCCCGTGTGTTCACAATGCGCCTGTTTCACTCAACCTCCTAATTACCTTACACACTCTCCCCGGGTTACAAAGAAAGACATAAACAGATTAACTAAATTAGGCCAATTAAAGGTTCCCTAATGGAATGAAATGCTTCAGACAAGCTTGAGAGAGAAAAGCGGGCAGGGAGAAGAGAAAGACGAGGCAATGTCAGGCAAATTACACAGAGCTCAGAGAACACCTCCGAACATATAGATCCACAAATAAAAACACAAGCTCCCTTCAACTGCGTTCGCCTTCCTGATGTTTGCTCTTCGTGAACATGCTAGTGAACTTGATGTTTATAAAAACGGCACATTTTAAAGTTAATACTGCGGAGTGTATTTGTAGAAAGCAAATGTCGAATTTCTGAATGCAAATATTTGCATTAGAAACCCGATCGTTAATCTGTGGAATTCGTGGCCACAAGATCTCACAGAGTTTAGCAAGATTCACAAAGGGATTGGACCCTGAGAGCATCCACAATATCAGACAGAACAAACCATTTTTCTCTATAAAAAGCCTCAGATATTTCTCAATATAAGTCTCCAATCCAGCATTCTGGTTTTGCTTTCAATGCTCTCTTTTGTGACAGGTTGTTTTCAAATAAATGGAGAATCTCATTGCTTCAGTCCAAAGATAAACTGTCGTCCTCTTTTGCACTTCACCAACAACCACTTCAACCTTCTCTCCTAGATCAATGGATTCAAAGGCCAGAATGGATCATTATGATCATCCAGTCCCAACTCCTGCATAATACAGTCCCTAGAATTTCACCTCATCATTCATGCATCATGTCCATAACATTGGCTTGAGCTAAAGCGTCTCTCTTTTGACTTACTGATTGCCACAAGATCCTTGTACAATTACTTGTCTTAAGTGGAAAGTCAAGTTTCTTGGTCATGGTCATTAAATTGCACCAGGCTTGCAACTGAACCAGAGTTATGACCGGACAGACAACAAGGTAGAGTCCACCATCATCTTTCTTACCGAAAGGCTGGAGGAAGTTCTCCTTCGGAGAATCGCAACATGCTATTGTGGGGCCTTTTGACGGACACACATGCTCTACAGCAGGGCTCAAGGAGCTAACACAGGACCTGATTCAAATTCTGATGAAGCCAATGGGAGTCTTTCTACTGACTTCAATGGGCTTTGGATCAGTCCTATCAATACAAGGACTGGTCCAAACCCAAGCCCTGGTCCAGAATACCATCAAACTTTGAGGAAGCCTGGAGCCAAAGCATAGGGGATTTAGCAAACATCAGCATCTGTAATGATATTGCCACAGGCCCATAGACATGCCAGGCAGCTAAAACCCCCAGCACAACTCTGCCTTTGAAGAAGGGGAATCACTCTGCAGAATTTGCATGGCTGACCGTCAACTACAGTAAGGTCTGGCTTTCAGCAGAATCCTTATGGGAAAGTCCAAAATTAGATAAGGAAGACCTTTCTATAAGGCATTTTTTTAACCGTCGTATAGAATGTAATGGAGAATTATATCCCTCCTATAGAATTCCACAGGACGAGAAAAGCTAAAGAAAGGATATTAAGTCTCTTTTAAATGCTATAGGTTTAATTTCTAAAAATCCCTATTCGTTTTCTACAGAACTCTGTTTCGTCTCACCCCTATTAAATTCTATAGGATGATCGTGGTTTGGTCCTAATGAATTCATATTGGTGCTAAGTAGAGGGTGAGACCTTTTCCCTTGTCTCTCCAGCAGTGAAGGCCACTAGGACATTTGTATTGAATACAGAGGCCACAGTAACAAACCCTGCCCTGCCTCTATTTTGGGCACGAAGGACCTGGATGGAGCAGAACCAATGCAGTTCTGCTGGGAGCAGAACCTCTCTACTCTACAGCACAGAGCTGTGCTCCCTGGAGATGAGGTGGAGCTGGACTGAGGCAGAAGCAACAGGTCACGAATCCATAACTATAGAGATCCATCCACTATTCCATCCTTCCCCAAAATGGGATCATTGCAGCCAAGGAATCTACTCCTGCCTTGAAGCTACAGCAGCATCCCTGGGTCAATGTCACGGGAGGTCAGCGGACTCAGCTGTGAGACTCTCGCCTTTAGAAGGTGGCTTGTAATATATCAATGGAAAACTAACACCACATTGGCCACTCCAATCATTATGAAATGTACGTAACAACACTGTATGTGACATTATGGATACTCTCTCTTTTGGAATCTGTAAACAAACCAAGGAAGCAAAAAAGGGTTTTTTTTCCAGACAAAGGAGAATGGCCAGCACCTCTTGGACTCAATGGCAAATCAAGCCAGGTGTGCCAAGAACAATGAGTCTTTCATTTGCATTGCAAAATCCCAGGAGACTGCAAAAATTAGCATGGTGTCAGCTCCCTGGAGGACACAGAGAGCTGAGCCCCCAGGACAGCTTCCTGGCTTTGAAACCAAAGATTAATTTTGAGGATATCAGGACCTGCTGAAAGACTTGGGGGTAACCATCACAGAGGGACGATGGGGTACAGCATCCTTCAAGCCTTTGAGAGCTGGGTCCTATTAGCCTGGAAGGCAAGAGTTGCTGCAGGGGAGACAGTTTGGGGGGGACTCAGGACTGAAAGGGCTGTTGGTGTCGCCCTGTAAGGAGGAACCAGGCTGGTGGAGGCCAGGGTGAGGCCATGGTGCTGTGAGCAGGATGCTGGTGGCAGGGCTCAGAGCCAAAGCTGAACAGCACAAAAGCACCCAGGGCTACAGGGCAGGTGGTGACACCCCCCCTTACTGGTCTGGGTGAACCCCCAAAGCATCACCAGGGTATATCCTCTTCTGGCACTGGTGATGACATGGACTCGCTGTAGGAACTGGGGAATTCTTACCGTGGCTGGACATGAAAACCAGTGTGTTGGGGGGAAATAGCTCAGGATAACCATATTAGAGGAAAATACACTTGATAATACTCTGTAGTGAGGGATACTCAGCATCAGCTGATACAGGAACCCCCCTTGCTAGCATGGTGCCGGCCGTGGAATGATCCATTCAGGCCAGCACTTTCCAGAGCCAGAGGGGAAAATCAGACCCAGACTCTGCACACAATAGCTTGGTTCCTTGGTGCCGCTCCAGGTTAAGAGGGTTATCTGAGCAAGGGGGTGGTGAGCAGTCGCACCGGCAATACCTTTCTTATCCCGTGGATGCCGTCATCCGGAAGGCTGGTGTGGATGAGGCTGTGCACTTCCGTCAGCTCCGTGATGTCCATCAGGGGCAAGGGAACCTCTTCAGCGAGCGGGGACATGAGGGACTCCAGCTCATGAGAATCAGACTTGGCGCTGGGCCTGGGCGGTCCCTGCCTGCCCCGGTGACAGGAGCTGTGATTCCCGGCTGCTTGAGAATCCAGGCCTGGCAGAGCCTCCCTGCAGGGGGTGGGAAAACAAACAAAGGTTTCCACCTCGGAGGGCAAACAGCCCTGCGCTCCCCTGTCCAGCCAATCGGAGCTCAAGGGGTGTCAGCTCCCAACTCATGAACAATGGCAGATGCTGGACCAAACTGCCCCTCTCTGCTTGGGCTGTTATCAACAGGACTGGAACTGCTCTGCTGGGCGTAGGGATCAGTGTTAAGGCCCCTGTGCTCACCACATATGGCCAATACACCCCGAGCCCGTGCTCTGTAACAAGCACAGTGTGCAGATTCTACAACCCGCCCCCTGCCCAGCAGATCACAACGGCTGGTGCTTAGTGCCCCATAACGGGAGCGAGAGACAAGGACACGGATTTACTCTCCCTCATGCTTATCACACCCCACGTGACGCAGATGAGTTTAATCATCCCCGTTTTACAGGTGACAGAGGGAGGTTACGTGATGGGGGTGGGTTAGTGGCAGAGCCTGGATGAGACTTCGGGAGCTCCTAGGTCCCAGCCCTGTGCTCAATCCACCCGCTCACAATGCCTCTCTCTAAAACTACGGCTTACGTCAAAAGTTGAGCTTCAAATGATTTCCTTTATAAGCACTTACAGGGCAGGTTCTGACACCCAGGTCAGATCAACAGGACTCGGCCAATATGCCCCGAATGAGGATCTGGCCCCGATCATGCCAACCCACTCCATTACATCAGGAAGAAAGGGAATCCTCTAACAGTCTCCCCTGCTGGAAGCTCACAAAGCTGTTCAGAGCATGCTTAGAACGATCAGCCTGGCACTCAAACGCATCGGAGCCGTGTTGTGCATACACCGAGATGAAGAAAAGATAATGTTCTTTGATAGGGCAATTAGCATTCTATTTTGGTGCAAAAACAATTACTCTAACAATGCAGATTACAGAAAAGCTACCGCAGCAGCATACAAACCAGCCAACCAGCCTGCATTCATTAAAGAGCGCTCCTGGGCGGGCACACCCCTCAAAACAACGTGACAGAGAAGGAATTCTATATTGAAAGCCGTGGATTATTCTTATGGGCTGCATCTTTAACTGCCTTAAATTCCATTGTTCGACAACACAGCCCAGCTCAGTGTGGGAAAGAATCTGACAGGGTTTTCTGTGCTGCTCCCCATCAGTGCTTTGTTCTCCTGGCTGTCCGGGTAATGCAATGCATACCTCTGCTTGCTGCTGCGGAAACTGGCACACATACAGAAGAGTATGCAGAGGAGACCTAAGCAGACTCCCACGATGATCCCGGTGACCGAGTGGACATCCAGAACATCTAGTAGGCGAAGGACAGAGTCGAGTCAGCGTCTCAAGCCCTACCGGGAAGAGGACGCAGAGCGTCCGGTGCATTCAGAAAAGCACCAACTTCGGGTGCGTAGATATAAAATGGCCCCGATCACTGATCCAGAGCTAGTGTTCCCTAAAGCCCAGGGGGCGTGGGAGGACTGGCCCCAAGTTGAGCCCATATCTAACACACGCACACACAGAGATACGCAGACAACACACAATTATAAAAAGTACTTGGCAGTGACCGTTGAAGCAGATAAAAGCAACCTGGCACCTGTCTAAAATTCAGCTGCCTTAATACTGCATGAACTAATACGACCGCTGCAAGGTGGGGAATGAGAGCCAAATCCTTGCCCCGAGATACGGATCGGCAACTGCCACAGAGCTGCGCACACGCTGAATTTGGCTCGATCCCCTGCATTGGTTTAAACACATTCACATTCTGTGTATCACGCGGCGGGATCAGGCAGTTTCATGCATTCGCTTAAACACAAAACAAAACGACACTACTAACTAAGGGCAGTTATGGAGCGTGACTCAATGCTCGGAGTGACTCCTCGAGACCAGGGCATGCTTCCTGGGGGAGTAAAAACCGGGCTACCTGACAGCTTCTCGCGAAGCGTGTGCACGTCCTTTACGTTCGAGTACGGCCCAGATCCTACAATGGTCTTTGCTCCCATCTTGAAGTAATACCTGGTGTTGCTCTCCAAGCCACGCACCTCGGTGCTGAAAATATTTCCTGTTCAAAAGCAGGTGAGAAGGTTTAATGTTTAGTTTAGATGCTATCTGGGGGGTTGCAGGACTTTGTTTCATTCTCTTAGCTAGCAGAGTCTGCGAGCCACGTAACATAAATAGGTGCCTTTTGTATCCCAGGACAGTTATGGTTTAGCTAACATAATATGCTCGCTAGCAGCCTGACCCTGCATGTGTGAAACTTTACTCATGTGAGTAATCTCACCAAAGCCTCTCCTGGAGCTGCACTGCCTCATGCTCCTAAGTTCTGGGCTGGACGCAGGATGGAATTCTCTGGCCTGTAATATGCAGGAGGTCGATCCGCTGGTCCCTTCAGGCCTGAAAATCTTGACATTTATGTCATTCCTTGGCCATACCCCTAGACCTCCCCCCTGTGCTACCATGGATGGAGCCCAATGGGCAATCCCATTGGACCAGTGGGAGTACCCTAATGAGTCGAGCTCTCTACATGCTGAACTGTTAGCAGGATCCGGTCCCAATCCGCTACGTGCTAACGTTAATTCCTAATTAACATCCATTTCGAAATCGTCAACCACCAGCCTCCACAGTTCAGCTCCATCCATCCCCAGAGATTTCTGACCCTTTCCGTTTTCATAGATTCATAGATTCCAAGGCCAAAAGACCATTGTGTTCATCTAGTCCAGAAGAGGGCAAATTATGGCCCGTGGTCCGGATCCGGCCCATCACGGCTTTCAATCTAGCCTGCAGGATTGCCAGCCTCGTGGCGCAGCGGGGCTAAGGCAGGCTCCCTGCCTGCCCTGGCCCCGCGCCACTCCCGGAAGCGGCCGGCACCATGTCCCTGCGGCCCCTGGGGGAGGAAGGGGCAGAGGGCTCCATGCGCTGCCCTCGCCTGCAGGCGCCGCCCCCCGCAGCTCCCATTGGCCGAGAATAGGGAACCGCGGCCAATGGAAGCTTTGGGGGTGGTACCCACAGGTGAGGGCAGCACACGGCAGAGCCGCCTGCCCCACCCCACCCCCAGGAGCCACTGCCGGACATGCCGGCCACTTTCAGGAGCGGTGCAGGGCCATCCTGGAGCAGCCGGGCCAGAGCCCGCACCCTGAACTCCTCCTGCAAGCAGCACCCCAACCCTCTGCCCTGAGCCCCCTAACCCCCTGCCTTGAGCCCCCTGCTGCACCCCTCCAGCACTCCAACCCCCTGCCGAGCCCCCTCCCGCACTCCGCACCCCCTCTTGCATCCCAACCCCCTGTCCCAGTCCTACATTCCCGATCTAGTTTTACAAGTGGCCAGCGATTGAGAATGCACCACATCCCTTGGTAAGTTAATTACCATCACGATGAAAAATGTGCACCTTCTTTCCCGTCTGAATTTGTTTTGCTTCAACTTCCAGCCATTGGCTATTGTTCTTTCATCACATTTCTGTTCCCCAGGTAGGTACTCACCAGCCGGGGTCAAGTCACCCCTCAACCTTCTCTTTGTCAAGCTAAATAGATTGAGCTCCACGTGTCAATCGCTATCTAATCCTTTCATCGTTCTCGTGGCTCTTCCCTGACCCTCTCCCATTTGTCAGAATGCAGAACTGGCCGCAGTATTTCCAAAATGGTTGCACCAGTGCCACTCCTGAGGTCATATCACCTCCCTATTCCTGCTGAGATTTCCCTCTTTGTGCATCAAGGATCGCATTAGCCCTTTTGGCCACTGTGTTCAGCTGATTACCCAAGTCCTTTCCAGAGTCACTGCTTCCCAGGCTTGAGTCCCCCATCCTGGAAGCAGGCTACATTCTTTGGGCCTAGGTATCTCATTCTGTGTTTGGCCGTACTGAAAGGCATATCGTTTGCTTGCGCCCAGCTCACCGAGCAATCCAGATCACTCTTGCTTATTTACCCCTCCCCCAAGCTGTTTGTCATCTCTACACCTTGTCAGTAGTGAGTTTATCTTTTCTTCCAGGTCACTGATAAAAATGTTAAACAGCGTAGGGCCAAGAACTGATCGCTGCGGAAGTCCACTAGAAATACACCCGCTGGAAGCTGATTCCCCATTTGCAGTTACATTTGGAGACCTAGCGGTTAGGCAGGTTTTAACCCATTTAATGTGTGCCCTGTCGATTTCGTATCCTTCTGTCTTCTCATTCAAAAGCTCAGCTCTCCTTCAGGGCAATGGGTGAATAAACTGCAAGAAACGACCAGCTGAGCTCTTAACTTCTCGCTGCATCTTCCACGTAGCATTTCCGCTCACTGGCATGGGCTTCACCTCCCCAGCCAGCAGCTTCACCCTGACACCGTTCTCTAGCAGGTGAAAACCGCCACACACAGGAGCGGCCTGGCTTTGCAGAGGGCCTCCGGGATGATCTCAGGTGGCCGATGTGCTCACAGGCTCTAGCTCACAGGGCTAGCTTCTGAGCAGCTGCAAACATGCAGCGTTTTCTTTCAACCCCCGACCCACCCGCGTTCCTCCTTTCTTATCTCTGAGCCACCGCCTTGACGCTCCGTCAACACAAAGTTCTTTCACTGCCTAGCGAGAGCAGCTTGTCTCTCTGCGGCCAGGACACGAAGAGCACCCAAGAGCCTTGCTAAAGAGGCAAGAGAACCCACCTGCTTCCAAACACACCACCTCTCCCCCACGTCTCTTCTCAGTGCCCATGCTCTGCGCTCAGCTGTGGGTCTCCTCTGCTGCCTCTATTGTTAATTGTATTGCAGGCTAGCGCCGCCTTTCCTCGACGTTCTCTGTCCCCCAGCTCATTAGACTTCTCTGTTATCAGTGGTTAGAGGCCGGACAGCAGAGACGCATGACTCCCGTCAGAAAGCAGCGAGGGCAAGGCAAATGGGGGGATTCTGAACTGACATTTATTACTGCCCAACTAGGATCGAAGTCGACGCACCTCCGCTCTGGAGCTGGCCCAATGGACACACTCCTGAGCTACTCCTGGAGCTCACCTTCTTTCCTCAGCAGAGTCCACATGTCGTCGGGCTGAGTGTTGTTTGCATTGTACAGGATGACATACTCCACGATGATGCCGTTGGGTTCGACTGGAGGACACCAATGCACCTGCACGGCGTACGGGTTGATTGGATGCAGCCTGAGGTCGGACGGTGGCGTCGACGGCCCTGAAGAGACAAAGGATATGACGACTGCCCCAAACGTGCAACAGGAACCAAAGGGGAAATGGCGAAAGCTCAGCTCTTTGGGCCACGCCTCCAATTTGGTGCCCCCCAAAGCGGGCACGTGCCAAAGCTGCATTTGCAGATGGGAGTTGGGTGGCTGGATACGCACCGGAGCGATCTGCACGCACCAGGCAGACACGAGCCTACTTTGGTGGATGCAAATGGTGCACAAACAGGGCTGCTCATTGTTGACTTTGGAGCTGAATGGAAGGGTGTGCTCTCTGCAGCACAAACAATGGGGAGTCTGTCTGTCTTGGCCAGCGAGCTAAGGAGTAGCAGGAAAACACGGGTGTAGCTGCCCAGCTCAGTAAGAGATACAGCATTAAAATACACCAAAACTTTTCTTATCTTTGGGCAAGGGATCCTCCGAGCTCCCTGCCCCCTTCTGGTTTTTAATTCCCCCGCCCGCAAAGCTCTCTTATCACCACAGCTAGATGGGACCCACCCTCCAAAGTCGGTTAACTCCACTCCCAAAACAGCCACTGGAGGTTGCTATTGGACAAGAGAGGTTATTCCCTGACTTACCAGAGCTAGCAGTGCTCTCAGCCACTGTCAACTCCTGCCACTGTCTCTACACCACCATGCTGGGCTCAACGACCCATTTTGACAACATCTGTCAGCATTAGCCAGGACCCATCGCTCAAAGCAACCCCCAGGGCAGCTCAATTCCTCACTAGAAAGCAGGATTTCTCAGAGAAAATCCACCTCCCTCTCCCAAACAAAAGAAAACTCAAATCTGAAATAAACATATTTGCCCTGATTCGTATCAATTGCTCTTCTCGAGTTCTGCTTCCATTCCTCTGTGCTTACAAAGCCAACTCCAGTGGCAGCATCTCGTCAGCGGGCTTTGGGATGGCTCTGGGGCTTTCAAATGGCTCTCAGCCTCCACTGATGCAGAAGAGAACTGAGGGCCGACAAGTGACAGCGAGCCGGATGCCCAAGCATTTCATCGTACAAATACGTTACATCTGCTGAGTAAGTGCGCAGAGGGAACGACAGAACTGGCAGCTGAAAACGGTCTTCAGAGATTTACATCCACTAGTGGGCAAGGCACAGGAGGTGAGACTGGCCTTCCTCCAATCAGGGAGAGCTCCGTGAGTTTGGGGATTCATTTTCACCGCGTTGCGGTACTTACGGTCAGGAAGGGTGAACCTCTCCACCACGCTGCCGAACGGTCCGTCAATCCCAACTCCGTTAGACTGGACTGCAAACTCATACTTAGTGTAAGGTTTCAATCCGCTGATGAGAATACCTTCATCAGAACTGCCAAAGAACGCAGACACACAGGGCAGATTAACGCAGGCCGGGGTCCCATCGCCGGACACCTCAGCAACTTACCAGGAGCCCGTGGGCCAGAAAATATGTGGGTGCAATGGAGCGGATCAAAGCGGCAGTGCTCCCACCTCTCACAAGTCTATCACAAGTCTCACTATCTTTCATATGTTTCTTAAAGTCCAAGCTCCAGGAGTCATGGGATTACGTGAGAATCACGTATGTTTCTAGCCTTCATGGCTGTTCATTTATTTATGATTTTCTTGCAGAGAAAAGCTTGAAAACGTGATGCCGCTAAAGCCTCAAAACCCAGAAGACAAATATACGAGCCACCCCAAATTTATTATATATATAATTTTTAAATGTCATGATTTTTAAACCAAAACCCCATTTTGGGGAGCCTGATGAGTCATGATCTTTGAATATTTGGGGCTGACAATACTGCAACTGGCTTTATCCTTAATATAAAGACATGGGAACTACAGATCCCAGCATGCAGTGCAGCCTGACCCCTACAAATCAAGATGGAAAAATGCCTGCTTTCTCCTAAGCCCCATCTCTGTGTTTCATATATTGACCATTCTCCAGGAGCCACTTTTTGCCCAGCCCTGATTTAGAATTGAACAAATGGATACAAGTCAGAGTCACATGCGCCCTGGACGTAGAAAGGCGCAGGGTCTACTAAACCACCCAGCCGCGAGGTTTCCCACGTATTTCTCCCGCATGCTTGTTTTCTTTCCAACAAGGAAGCCGTTGGGTCGCTCGGCCTGTTGCGCGACACTCTTACCTGGTGTAGTAAGTGACAAGAGAGGCGTTTTTCAGTCCCCAAGGGCTGAACCGCACGGTGTAATTGACGATCTTGACCGTCGTGAAGTCTGGTTTCTTCCACCTGAGCCAAATCGAGGTCGAACTGTTGGACTCTGCATAGACCTGGGCTGGGGGCAGTGGGGGGCCCTTCTGAACTGGAGGGTCTATGGTACATGAAGGAAGAAGAAAGAAATACACAAGTGTAAGTGGCATGGGAGAGAGCAGAGCAGTCACTGCTGGAGAATCGAGAGGAGGATGGGCCCAGTGGTTAGAGCACTAGCCTGGGCTCAATTCTCTATTCTGACACAGGCTTCCTATTTGACCTTGGGCAAGTCACTTAGTTACTCTCTGCCTCAGTTCCCCATCTGTGCAATGGGGATAACTGCCCTGCCTCCCAGGGTGCGCGAGGATAAATCAATTAAAGATTGCCAGGTGCTCAGATACAATGGTACTGGGCAACATAAGTACCACGATTTAGTCATGGAGGTCACAGAAGTCACAGAATCCGTGACTTCCAGCGACCTCCGTGACTTCAGCCTGCGGCGGTGGGGAGCTGCAGTGTACCCCGGCCGCCTCTGGCGGCCCCCGGAGCTCCCGGCCCTCGGGGGCAGCAGGGGAACCCCTGAACTCCCAGCCATTGTGGGTGTGGGCGGCAGGGGAACCCCCAAGCTCTCGGCCACTGCAGCTGGTGTGGGACCCCTGGAGCTGCGGGCGGCAGGGGTACCCCGCAGCCCCCAGCTGCTGCCGGTGGTGGGGGCCCTAGCATCTCCCAGCCATGACCTGGAGCTCTGACACCCAACCTGCGGTGGGGACCCCCGAACTCCTAGCCCCTGCGCAGCTGCCCCGCTGTGGGCACCCACAGATCCCCATTTTGTCACAGGGATTTTTAGTAAAAGTCAGAGTCAGGTCATGGCTTCCATGAATTTTTCTTTATTACCCATGCCCTGTCCATAGCTTTTACTAAAAATATCCGTGACAAAATCTTCGCCTTAACCATGAACAGATAGAATACGCTTTGAGAATCACAATCATAGCCTAATTTCACCACGAAGGGAAACGATGCATATGTCTGTATTATTATTTATCTGTATTACCCTAGTGCCCCGGGTCGCGTTATATCAGAGTAGAGGTGTATCTTGCATCTCCAACACAGCTCCCCCAATGTTTCTCAGAAATAGGGTGACCAGATGTCCCGATCTTTGGGTCTTTTTCTTATATAGGGTCCTATTATCCTCCACCCCGTTCTGATTTTTCACACTTGCTGTCTTGGTCACCCTACTCAGAAAGGGGGTGGGGGATGTTGGGGGGGGGGGGGGGGTAAAGGCCATCTGAATTCAGTGGCACCCAATCGTAGTACTAGAGAATGGGGACATTTCCACCCCCTCCAAGATGCTTTACTATGAACAATTAAGGTTGATCCCGTAATGTGTTGAGCACTCCAGCCAGCTCTCAAGGAACACTTTTTGGTGGCTCTAAAAATTCGGATGGCCCCGCTCATTCTCAACTGGGAATGACTATGTTGGACACCAGTGCTAGATCACAACTCCTGTCTTTGGTTCCTAAACGTCTGCCTCCGTATCTTTACCCCGTTCCCTCTCTTAGAACCATTGGCAGAGCAGAAGAGAGAAGAGCATGCAGGCAGAAGGTCGCGGGTGAAATAGTTAGGAACTGCCCTATGAAGTATTTCTTACCTACTGCGGTCACGGGTGCCTTTTCCGTTTTGCCCTTCCATACAGCCGCGTAGCCATCTTCGTGCTTATTGAATGCCACCAGCTTCACCTCATAGAGTCTCCCCGGGGCTGGAAAAATAAACGTTTTTGGTTGCAAAAATCATTCAGCAGAAGTTCATCTTTGCCCAATCTCAGCAGAGCTGCACTGGCTTAAAACCATTCGGATTCCATGTTCAGATATTAGCTAATTCATCAAGCTACCACCACCCTACAAAGTATTATCATCCCCATTTTATCACTGGGGAAAACCAAGGCCAAGAGAAGCAAGGTGACTTGCTCAGGGTCACAGATTGAGTCAGTGGCAGAGCCAATATAAGAACAACTCACGATTTCCTGATCCCCAATCCTGTGTGCCTGCCTCTACCATGGAAGATAGCATCATGCTGCATTAAAGCTTCATCACGACATGGTCCCACAGCGCAAGATGACTGCGTTTAAAAGGTCCCAGAAGTTGTTTGAGGAGCTATGAATGTCCTGCAAGCATTGGAGTAGGATTATCTGGGAAAACTCCGATGGGTGGTAACCCAATGGCCTCTCCAAAGCTAGGTGACACATTAATACTCTTTGCTCCAGTTGCTTTACCCAGTAATTTACGGCCTGATCCTCATATTAATTGCTTAGATACTGCACTAACAAGTGCTCTACGAAATATCTCAGAGCTTACACCCTTTTGCTCCCATCCAAGACCAACCTACCACAGAAGACAAGTGTGTTTATTTCTCTCTCTCTCTCTCTCTCACACACACACACACACACACACACACACGTATGAGGACTAAAGCTGACCCTCCAAAGTAAACAAAATTTATCCTTGTAACTCAGCAACACCCTTGCAAATCTACAAAACGCTGCGCGCTTCATTTTCCAATCACCCTCTAATTATGCAGGGGGCCCTTCAGCGGCCCCTGAGCCTGGTGGGAGAACTTCTCTCAAAGCGATTCATGGTGTGACTGTGCCAGTAACCTCTGCTCAGGGAAAGCCCAGTTCGCGTATTCAGAAGGATACGTTGTACAGCCACCAGGGGGGATTTTTAAAGACACGGCGCTGGATCCTGCAATTCCTTGCACCCTGAAAATGTCTATTAAAGTCGACAAGAGTTTTTGGTGCACACAGAAGCACAGGATCAGTCCCAATCTGTCTCATCTACCAAGAGAGATTCTTACAGTCAGAAACACTCCGGTGCGCACCACAACAAACTGAGCCTACCGCTTTCTCAGACACAGCTGCTTTAATAATAAAGTCAGGCGCCTTCAGAAAGGAAACAGAGATCCCCGTTTCAAGGGCAATTCTTCCACTGACCCCAAACGGGGTAGCAGGAAAAGGCCCAGAATATCTCCCAGCAGCATTAGCTGCGCTTTCGTTAGTTCCTACAACGGACACCAAACTTAGCTCACGCAGTCCAAAAGGTCGTTGCAAAGCTTGCCTGCCTCTTTCTTCTTGTCTTTCACAAACTAGAAGCCTCTCCTGCCATGTTGGGGGACATTTTAGCAGGGATGTTTATTCAAGGAAACTACTTAAAAGATTCAAAGTTTTTAAATAGAGGGAAACTGGCAATTCTCTCTGGACATCTCGTCCCTTGTTCAGAAAGGCGCTGAAAGCAGCCCACAGTCTCTTTGGTTCCCTCGGCTGCATTTAGCTGATGAAGTTTGTTAATTAGGGACGTGCCTATTCATCCCCTGCCCCGATGGCTCACCGGCTCCCTTGCCGTGCCAACGTAAGCAGCACAAAGCCCGTCTCACTGATGCCAATTTTATTATTACTGCTCCAATTATGCTCCCAGGGCCTATTGGTGCCAATTACCCAAAGGGTGCACGGAAGGCTGCCCCTGCTTCACAATACGTGTTCACGTTTGGAATCTAAAAACAGTTCGGCCACATTTTCCTCGCTGAAAAGCTCCCCAAAGCAAACACAGTTTTGTCTCCCTCAAAAGCCGCCTGGGTGTTGCGCGATGATGAAAACAGACCGGCTGACCTTCTGAAATTCACTGGGGCAGGGGCTATCGTGGTTGGACTACAGAGTCGCTGAGTTCTCAGGCTCAGGGGCACGGAACTGATCAGTGGCCCTGCTCCCCGTACGCCTGCTCAGAGTTTCGCTCTGTGTGTTACTTTCTCAGCTTCACAAAAGCTTCCGAGAGGAACCTTGGGAAATGAGTCTGGTTTGGGGAGAGGACAGTCAGGGCAATAAGGAAGACGTTGCAAAATGCGCGGTAGTGGACAACCTGCCTTGGAAGAAACAGCACAAAGACAGGAAGGAAAGGCCAAGTCTTACTGTGCCCACATACACTGTGTTAACAGTAACAACTTTTTCCTTTTAAACATCGTGGCCAAAATTTTACAACAATGGGAGCCTAAAGTCAGGCTCCTAAATCCCCATTTAGGCACTTAACTGAGTGGCCAGATTTCCAGGAGTGCCAGTATCCAGCGGATCCCATTGACACCAGAAGTTGCAGCCGGCTGCTCAGTACTTATATAGGAATTGCCAGACTGGATCAGACCTGAGGTCCATCTAGCCCAGTCTGTGACCGTGGCCAGCGCCAGATGCTTCAGAGGAAGATACAGGAAACCATACAGCAAGCGGACGTGATACTCTGCTCCTCATCCTGATCTCTAATAGAGATTGTGAAACACGAGGTTTGATACTGCAAACTTTCCGCAAGGGGCAGCAGTTATCACTCTGGAGATTCTTAGCATCAATTTTTGTCACTTATGCAAGCTAGAAGCTGGGATGTGTATCTGCAACCCCCGGCACACGAATCCGGATCATTTCCACTGCACCACCTGAAAATCAGGCCACGTTGGTTTTCGAAGGCTCCTGTTTCTTATAATTGAGCCCCAGAAGTTCAGTATCTGAAAGCTTACAGGATACTTGTCAAGATCTGCTATTGAAGCTAGCAGGCAGGGTGAAAACAGATAGATTTTGTCGCATCCCCTCATATATGTGAATGCCTATATTAAACTGATCCAGAATAATCTACTCTGCATCGCTTCAAATATGGGATCTGGATGGCTGTGATATTTCCAATAGACTAATATATATTTTTGCATTCATTTTTTTAAGTGCTCGTTAAGCGTTGACTCTCCCACCTTTCTCAGGCTAAGAAGTACCTGGTACCGCTCCCAAAGTAAGGTACTACTTACTAGCCATTAACACGGATGGCGGAATTAGGCCCTCAGTGTCTCTTTTTCTTCTAGATCCCGGCCCTGGTTGTTGCATTCCGTTACTAGTGATTAATTGCTAGAGTCAGACCTAGACTGTCCACTGAAATCAATGAGAGTTCTTGGAGCTCAGCACGTATCAGGGTTAAGCCCGGAATGACAGACTTGTGTTGATTACAATGTCCCATTTCTCCTATTTCCTGCACAATGATTTTCCTGACTCTGTTCCCTTTTTAATACTTTGCAGTTCCTTATCCAACCCCTTGTCTCAACTGAATTGCAATAGTCTCGCCAAGTGCCAGATTGTGCAATCCTGACTCGCACACGTAACCTCAACGAAATCAACACCTGCTTGTGTGAGCGGGCACTCACCAGTGCAAGGGTTGCACAGTCTAGCCTTCAATTAGCACGCTCCTACTTAGACTCTTGATGGGTTTTCACATTCCCCTGCCTTCCCCGCCACCTTTGCATTCTCAGCGTATGCTAGGCGCTTCTACCCCTTCCCTTTTCCAAGCCCCCAGGAGCACGTCTTTCCACAGAAAAGCAAAAGAGGATGTCCCCAACTGGAAGACATTTCAGCCTCTTCATGAAGTTACGATAGTTAATCCACATCAGCCCCATCATAAGGAAACCATCAAGAGATGATTGATGCCCAGATTTAAGGAAGTAATTACGGATGAACAAGTGATGTTCTGAACACTGATGTGCCAGAGCATTTGGAACCAATTCAGATCATTCCTGAGCCACTCTCCTCGCTAGTTTGTCAGTGGTAAGGACAGGACATGATGTACAGATGTGGTTTCCTCAGTGCAGTAATTACAGATCTAAATGCTTCAGAGTGACTTGTAACTGTTAACACCCTCTCCAGGCTAGGAGTAGACATAGCGGTAACGCAATTCTAGAGGGGGAAGTTTATTTAGTGGTGACACAAGTTAGCCTCCCAGGTCCTATATACTGACTGTTAAACCATCCATAATATATGTTAGGTGTGTAAATCAAGCTGGCACGCACACTCAGACTGCTGTTTCAACAGCTGGCCTTTGTCAACAAAGCAAAATGCTGCATTATATGGGGCCCGATCCTCAGCTGGGGAAAATCAGCACAACTGCATTGACTTCCAGGGAGTTATGCTGATTTTACACTAGCTGAAGATCAGTCCCATAGAGCCCTACATATTGTAGCTCTGAGTCTAGTAATTAACCAACTAGTTACAGGATGCGACAATTACAAGGGTGAGCCATGGGGCCGAGGAGGGAAACAGTCTAAGTAGGAGAGTCCTATTTCAAGAGTACATGTGGCATGTCTGATTTCTTATCAGTTGGTTAATTAACTAATTACTCTATACTATACAGACAATCTATTGTCGTAAATGGTTACAAGCATCTTGTTGCCGAAGGTTATCTTTCAGATCTGATTGCTGGGATTCAGACTCGTTCTCTGACCACCAGCTCTGAACCTTTTGGCCTCAATTTTTCTCCTCTGTAAAATGGGGAAAATAATACCGACCTCAGAGAGGTGTGGTGAGGATTAACTCATGGTTGTATTTTAATCTGGAGCAGACATCTCAGGTGCTTTTTAACCTTAAGTAACAAACACGCTTGGCTGCATTAGAGATGCATCTTACAAACACTGTAAGTGAGAGAGCAGTATGATTGCTCAGAGCTCCAGTATGAAACTGGAGAAAAGCCTGTTGAGAGTCTTTGGGTTAAGTTTAGAGGCAAGAGCAACAAGGGTGCTGTCATGGTGGGCATCTGCTATAGACCACCAGACCAGGAGGAGGAGGTAGACAAGGCTTTCTTCGGACAACTAACAGAAGCTTCCAGATCACAGGCCCTGGTTCTCATGGGGGAATTCAATCCCCTGACATCTGCTGGGAGAGCAATACAGCAGTGCACAGACAATCCAGGAAGTTTTTGGAGAGTGTTGGGGACAACTTCCTGGTGCAAGTGCTGGAGGAACCAACTAGGGGCCGTGCTCCTCTTGACCTGCTGCTCACAAACAGGGAAGAATTGGTAGGGGAAGTAGAAGTGGGTGGCAACCTGGGCAGCAGTGACCATGAGATGGTTGAGTTCAGGATCCTGACAAAAGGAAGAAAGGAGAGCAGCAGAATACGGTCCCTGGACTTCAGAAAAGCAGACTTTGACTCCCTCAGGGAACTGATGGGCAGGATCCCCTGGGAGGCTAATTGAGGGGGAAAGGAGTCCAGGAGAGCTGGCTGTATTTTAAAGAAGGCTTATTGAGGGCGCAGGAACAAACCATCCCGATGTGCAGAAAGAATAGCAAATATGGCAGGCGACCAGCTTGGCTTAACAGAGAAATCTTCGGTGAGATTAAACACAAAAAGGAAGCTTACAAGAAGTGGAAACTTGGACAGATGACTAGGGAGGAATACAAAAATATTGCTCGAGCATGCAGGGGTGTAATCAGGAAGGCCAAAGCACAATTGGAATTGCCGCTAGCAAGAGATGTTAAGAGTAACAAGAAGGGTTTCTACGGGTATGTTAGCAACAAGAAGGCAGCCAGGGAAAGTGTGGGCCCCTTACTGAATGAGGGAGGCAACCTAGTGACCGAGGATGTGGAAAAAGCTAATGTACTCAATGATTTTTTTGCCTCTGTCTTCATGAACAAGGTCAGCTCCCAGACTGCTGCACTGAGCAGCACAGTATGGGGAGAAGGTAACCAGCCCTCTGTGGAGAAAGAAGTGGTTCAGAACTATTTAGAAAAGCTGGACGAGCACAAGTCCATGGGGCCGGATGCGCTGCATCCGAGGGTGCTAAAGGAGTTGGCGGATGAGATTGCAGAGCCATTAGCCATTATTTTTGAAAACTCGTGGCGATCGGGGGAGGTCCCAGATGATTGGAAAAAGGCAAATATAGTGCCCATCTTTAAAAAAGGGAAGAAGGAGAATCAGGGGAACTACACACCGGTCAGCCTGACCTGAGTCCCTGGAAAAATCATGGAGCAGGTCCTCAATGAATCCATTTTGAAACACTTGGAGGAGAGGAAGGTGATCAGGAACAGTCCACATGGATTCACCAAGGGCAAGTCATGCCTGACCAACCTGACGGCCTTCTATGATGAGATAACTGGCTCTGTGGATATGGGGAAAGCAGTGGACGTGATATACCTTGACTTTAGCAAAGCTTTTGATACAGTCTCCTGCAGTACTCTTGCCAGCAAGTTAAAAAAGTATGGATTGGATGAATGGACTATAAGGTGGATAGAAAGCTGGCTAGATCATCGGGCTCAGCAGGTAGTGATCAACGGCTCGATGTCTAGTTGGCAGCCAGTATCAAGCGGAGTGCCCCAGGGTCAGTCCTGGGGCTGGTTCTGTTCAATATCTTCATTAATGATCTGGATGATGGGATGGATTGCACCCTCAGCAAGTTTGCAGATGACACTAAGCTGGGGGGAGAGGTAGATATGCTGGAGGGTAGGGATAGGGTCCAGAGTGACCTAGACAAATTGGAGGATTGGGCCAAAAGAAATCGAATGAGGTTCAACAAGGATAAAGCAGAGTCCTGCACTTAGGACAGAAGAATCCCATGCACTGCTACAGGCTGGGGACCGACTGGCTAAGCGGCAGTTCTGCAGAAAAGGACCTGGGGATTACAGTGGACGAGAAGCTGGATATGAGTTAACAGTGTGCCCTTGTTGCCAAGAAGGTTAATGGCATATTGGGCTCCATTAGTAGGAGCATTGCCAGCAGATCGAGGGAAGTGATTATTCCCCTCTATTCGGCACTGGTGAGGCACTGCATCTCTGGAGTATTGCATTCAGTTTTGGGCCCCCCACTACAGAAAGGATGTGAACAAATTGGAGAGAGTCCAGAGGAGGGCAACGAAAATGATTAGGGGGCTGGGGTACATGTCTTATGAGGAGAGGCTGAAGGAATTGGGGTTATTTAGTCTGCAGAAGAGAAGAGTGACAGGGGATTTGATAGCAGCCTTCACCTACCTGAAAGGGGGTTCCAAAGAGGATGGAGCTCGGCTGTTCTCAGTGGTGGCAGATGACAGAGCAAAAAGCAATGATCTCAAGTTGCAGTGGAGGAGGTCTAAGTTGGGTATTAGGAAAAACTATTTCACTAGGAGGGTGGTGAAGCACTGAAATGGGTTACCTAGGGAGGTAGTGGAATCTCCTTCATTAGAAGTTTTTAAGGTCAGGCTTGACAAAGCCCTGGCTGGGATGATTTAGTTGGGGTTGGTCCTGCTTTGAGCAGGGGATTGGACTAGATGACCTCCTGCGGTCTCTTCCAACCCTAATCTTCTATGATTCTATGAGAGGTTCTTAGAAATATGTAGGTGGGAACAGATGATTGTTCTGAGCTGAGTTTTGAGATACGAACATAGGATACACCAACCATTTCAATTTGTGCTTCACCAGATATAATTTAATCACTGATTAGAGAATCATCTGCCACTATATTAGCTTTCCGGAGTTTCTGCATTTTAATATTTAATATTATAAAAATGATTTAGCACTTGGATCCTGCACTGACAGGTGGTCTTACAAGTACCTGAAAGAGACAGAGATTAATTTCTGCCCCCTAAGCTCTCAGGACACTCATCCCTGCAACAGTTGGCTAAAGATTTAACAGTGGGAGGAGCTTTAGAACTCAGGTACATTCAGACTCTGTAGTAGTAGAAAAAGCAGTAGTAAAAGACTCTGTAAGATGCAATGGTACATCTGAAGGGCTTGCAGCCAAAGAACTTTGCCCCTTCTTAGAAGTTCTTCATCACGACCTCCTTGCACTGCAAGGTGGAACCGCAGTGCCAGTGCATGTTGGTAAGAAGTAGACTTCACCAGCTAACCTAGTCGAGTTAATTCATACTGCTTCACTTTCTTCTTTAGCTTTATGGGCCCCACATCCCAGCTCTCCTCTTCCGTGCCATCCGAGGGGTTTTCGTCACTTGACTCTTCCGTGCCCACCTCCCGGTAGTACAGCTTGTAGCCTGAAATCTGGGCATGGTTGGCTGGGGGCTGCCACGTGACCAGGAGGGATTCCATTTTCGCTCGGACTTTTAATTCTGTCGGGGCAAACGGAACTAGAAAAACAAGAGGAAAGAAACCCACATTTCAGCAACTCCTCGGTGTTTCCTTGCTTTGTTAAGGGGCTTCCTTCTCTCTACCTCTGAAGGACAGGCAGGGTCTGTCCCAGTGAGGGGACATGCCCCTGAAGTGCCAGAGAGGAGCGGTGATGATTCTGTCACTGAATGGGCCAACCAGATGACCACAGAATAACAGAACTGATGTTCATCTACATAGCAAGGGGGTGCAGTCTAGCAGATAGAGCTGGTGACTGAGAGCTACTGCGGTGGGGTGGGGTTTACCTGCCCTATTTTGAGTTAACTACAGCACCACTTTTACCGGCTGCTGCCTGTTAGCTCTGCGTTCATCTCTGTATGTCGGTTTTGCCTACCCACTTCCAGACACGCCCACGCTCATTTTTCATGAGCCCTTGCTTATAGCCTGCAGCCTGAGGAAGATCTGGGAGGTGATGGTGTTTTTGATGGGTCAAAAACACACCAAGCAGCATGGGACGGGGAAAAGCATTCTGGTTCCCTACACTAAATGGAAAGTTAGGGGAGGGGTTCTGGTGTGACTGGGACCTCATGCTACAATTCCCTAGTGTAGACACAACCTTGTGTGGGGTTGGGTAAGCCATCTAGTCTAACTGCCTCAGCTTCCCGCATCTGTGAAATGGGGATCATGGTATTGACCTCCCACCCTCACAGGGGTGCTGTTCCAAGACCCAGCGAAGAGAAAGGAGCTTGTAGCGCACGCCACGCCCCCCCATCGTAGGGTGACCAGATGTCCTGATTTTATAGGGACAGTCCCGATATTCGAGGCTTTTTCTTATATAGAAGCCTACTACCCCCCACCCCCTGTCCCGATTTTTCACACTTGCTGTCTGGTCACCCTACCTTACCATGCGTTTGGTTGTCCTTGTCAGGAGTACGATGCTGCGTCCACTCCGAAGGGGTGCCATACCCTGCACTGGTGCTGGCTGCAATGCGCACTTTGTAGACTTTATTGGGATGGAGCGACTCAAGGGTGATTTGTGTCTCATTCGCACCCACCTCGGTGGAGGAGATCTGATCTGCTAGAGCCAAGGAAACCCCAATTAGACGTCTTTATTCCAATCCAGGTGAATTTGCCCCTGTGCCGAGGGCCAGCAGCAGGAGATCCGGGCTGCGAATAAGCTGAGATGAGACTTGCATGGTGCGTGTGCTGGCTTTCGGCCCAGTGGCGAACTTCCCTGCAGGTCACATTATCATGTAACAGCACGATGATGATTTATAACTAGAGATGAGCCACAACTGGAATCCTGACTCAGCGATCCCTTTCCGGTTTCGATTCTGGGTCACAATCAGAACAGGAAGGGGTCTGTTCTCCCCAATGAACACACACAATTCCAGTCTGGATACAGCAGGAATCGTGAGACAGCGGGAAGCTGGCAGAAATCTCACGAGAACAGCTGACGGGGTGAAATTTCCACCGTTCTAGATGGCAGACATCTCAATACCCTGGGCCAAAATCTCAGAAGAGCCCCTACTGAGATTTTGGTGCCATCAAATCTGCAGCCAAATGCTAGCCTTAAATTAACTGATATGAACCAAGAACCTTACCCCCGACTCACGGCACTTCAAATCCAGCCTAAATCTAATCCAGACCCAGATTTTAACACTGCCTCCTCAGATCATCTCTGTTATAAGGTGCATTCAGTTAAAGGTTTAAACAGAGCCTGGTGGGAGATTTCCATCGGAGCTGCAAAGATCAGCCTTGCTAGAGATTCAAACAGTGGCCCTATGGTTAATGCAAAGGTCACATTTAAACGATTCATCCAGTTTGAGCTCCTGTGGGAATTTTGCCCCGGTTCTTTAACATGAAGGCTGTGTCTACACTGCAGTTGGGAGGTGTGTTACCAGGCGCGGGTAGACAGACGTGTGCTCGAGCTAGTGCATTAAAAACAGCAGTGTGGAAGCTGCAGGTCTGGCGGCAGCTCAGGCTGGCCGCCCGGGTCCAAGCCCGCCCGACCCCCTGGGTCTGAGCTCGGGTGGGTAGCCCGAGCTGACAGCCGTGCTGCAAGATCCACACTGCTATTTTTAGCACACGAGCTCGAGCTGAGCTAGCCCAGGACTGTCTCTCCGCGCTGGGAATCCCACCTCCCAGCTGCAGTGCGGACATACCTTAAACAACCACACATCAGCCCCGTGGTGCAAACATTTCAACCGCTTCCCATTGACTCGTTGGGTTGGCTGCAACCGCTTTTAGGCATCGAGACTAAAACCAAGAACCAGGCGTCACGGTGCAGAACAGAAACACAGCTCAAAGCCATGGGAATGTGACCCTTTGTCACATTTGCAATCCCCTCCTTACATCCTGGAGGTGAGCAGCTGCAGAGCGAGGAATGCTTTAGGGCTGGGAAGCCGGCACTGATGAGAAAGTGCCCATGTCCCCATTGAAGGGTTAGTATACTGGCTAACAATAGAAATAAAACCAGATCAAGCCGAAAACTGGCAAATGTGGTTACATGGGCTTGCCAGGATACCGGTTTTATTTCGACACAATGATCTGATTTTTTCCAATTCATCGAATGCACTTCCCCACCTACTCCTATGATCATTAAACACAAAGGACCAGCGACAGCCAGACGTTGTTACCCTCTGGTGGTTGTTTGCTGGCCCATATGAAATGCAAACCTCAGTCCAGTTCCCACGTGGCCATAGGCCGACAGGACGAAATCCACAGCTGGCAAGTGCAATGGCAGAGCCCAGCCCAGGGTGGCCAGGTACAGAATGGGCTCTGGGGAGTGAATTCTTGTCTAACCCTTTCAGGAGAGGTTTGAGGCACATCAGTGGGGCAGTTTGCAGTGCTGGTCTCTATGCTGCACGTCTCCTATGGATAAACAGAGGCCTCTGGTCCCAAAGGTTTTCAGTCCGGCACCTTCTGTCAGCATTAACCACACACACAATACGTTTCTGAGAACTGCAATCATGCACTGAATGCACCAACCTCTACTTCTCACTGAGCCCGTCTCCTCCTCACCTTCCTTGAGGGTGCAGTAGTCAATTTTATATTTCGTTATCTTCCCATTGCTCAGCTCCGGAGGGAGAGGCAGCCACGTCACTCTGATGTCGGCCGGGGTCATGCTCGACAGAGACAGCTGAGGAGCAGCGCTGGGAACTGGGACAGAAGCAACGAACAGATGAGACGTCTCCTCAGTTCAAAACCAAGAGCAACAAGCTGCTTCAACAACAGGCGCAACTGGGGATTAGCTCCACTTGGGAGCACGTATGTCTGAACCACGGGGCTTCAGAGGTTCAGGGATTGGCTTGGGATTGCCCGAGCTGACCCACTCCTCTGGGCAGGCGAACCTTGGGTGCCCTCAGTCCTGAAAGTATTGTCCCTGCAGAGCATACAATCATAACTGCTGGTGGCTGCGGACACTCCATGCCCTTTGTTGGGTCTCACATACTTAATGCCTGTGGTTGGACCACAACGGCTTCCACTTCTGTCTTTGCCCCACTAGCATTTCAATGTTTCATTACCTGTTTGCTTCCAGAATTTAAACACAGATATCCTCAGGACATTCAGAAATGCTCCCTGTTCCACTAAGGATTTGGTAGTTTGCTTTAGACAGGCCTATCTGCTTTCAGTTTTTTGCCATGGAAACAGAGAGATTTAATGCCACGGGGGATGGCTCAAGGATCTAAGCATCAGGTTTGAAAAACAAGTTTCCCTAGAACCACAGACTGGTATTCCGGGCAGCTGTTCATACCTCCGAGGCAGTGTGTGACAGGGAATACACCTCACGCCAGCCCTGTCGGGGTTATGGTGGCTCAGAAGGGGCCAATTAACCTTCTACTGCACCGGGGGGAGAGTCGGGATTGATTGAAAAAGTCTAACTGAAGATGAAGATCAGATGGGCAGGAGCAGGCTGGACTTGTATAAGCCAGGAAGTGGAGAGCAGCAGGGGTAGTGGGCGGGCTCAGGTTTCCTTAGCAGCCACCGGGGAAGTGGCACAGACTGGTAATTGGCACGGAAGACTGGGACAGCGTATGGACAGTTGGTCCAAAGGGACTTTGGGACCCCGGAGGGGGAAGACTATAAAGTGACCCATCTGGAGGGCTGAGTCATGAAGAGCGAGCGCTGTGAAGTACGGGAGGAGAGACACCGCAGCGACTGAGTGACTGATGGAAAGGGGCACTAGACTAGACTATACGAGACATGATCCCCAGACCAGCCACAAGGGGGCACCGCCAGCAGTGACTGTACCCCATTACACAGATACACAGAGATCAAGCAGTTTACTAAGTGGGTGAATTTCAGATTAAACTTTACAAGTCATGTATGGACATTACAGATCCCATAACAGAAGGGGTTTGCCTGGTACGTGGCCAAAATTTCCCTTTAATGTCCTACAGCATGTTATGGGCTAGTTGGCCAGCGCCCCCGTGAGGCTGCATTTTGGCAGTGTTCTGTATATACGATTTAAGAAACGCTTTGGAACACTTGGAATGAAAGGTGATATAAATGCAAAATATAATCTTTTAATAGACTTGACTGCAGGCCTGACCCCAAGCCGCTGGCTGTGAATAGGAGTCTTTCTATTTGCTTCAGTGGGCTTTGGATCAAGTCCACATGGAGCAAAATCATTGTTACCTAAATACAAATCCAGACCAGCTGAATGCAGTTCAAGTAATGGTGCCTATGTGTCAACTGCACCAGGATCAGAAGACAGCAGGATAATATCTAATGCCTGTTGCTGCCCATGCAGATCACTGTTCCCCACTCTCTGAAAAAAAACCCGCGTAAATAAATATCCAGACGCAACAGGCCACATTCACAGCGCGTCTGGATTTCTGCAAGCTGACACCATTCTCTGTAGGGTGTTTTGTGATGTTTCCATTTGCGAAGCGTAACAATTACTTGATCGTTTGAGAATACTTTCAGACACACCCGTGCATGTCTACTCAACGCACCGTCCTCCAGTGTCCGCACGATAATGGAAGAGGACGTCCGACTGGCTCCTAGCTGGGAGTACGCAACCATGTAGAAAACATAATTGGTATTGGGTTCCAGGTCTTTCACTTGAAGCTCAGTGGTATCATTATTGACAGCAAATTGGTATTCCACATTATCAGTTCCTAGAGACAAGGCAAAAACCCATCATCAGTACAACGAGCAAGACACCTGTCAAGTCCAAAATCAGCTCTTCCACAAAGCCTACAAACTGTAGCCTTCCCTCTTTGAAACCACTATGGCTTACCCCTGGTCCTCCCTCTGTCACTGTCTGCCACCTTCCTCCGTCATGTTCCAGCAAATCTTAACTTAGGCATTGAACTCTTTGGGCAGGACGTTAGATGCCTACGTGTGAACATTTTAGCCCAAGTTAAGCACCTAAATCCATCCTAAGGCACCTCAATAAGCAGCCTGATTTTCACGTGAGTTCTTGCTTCCCACCGACATCCGCAGACGTGGGAGATTCTCAGCTAAATTGTCTGAAAGTCAGACCCCGGATTCAGATTGTAGATGTCGACGCCTAGCTTTAGGGACCCAAGTTTGACTGGTTTAGTCACTGTCATTGCCCCTTGGCACCAAGCGTTTTTCTGGTGTTTTGTACATTCACTGATCATAATTAAGGCTATGATTTAATCACGGACGTCGCGGAAGTCACAGAATCTGTGACTTCCACGACGTCCGTGACTTCGGGCTGCAGTGGTCGGAAGCTGCAGGGTTCCCCGCTGCCTGTGGGGGCAGGGAACTGTGGGGTACTGCCGCAGAAGGCGGTGGATTACCTTGCAGCTCCTGTCCGCCACAGGCGGCGGGGGAACCCCTCAGCTCCCGTCTGCCACGGGTGGTGAGGGAAACCCCGAGCTCCCGGTCGCCCTGAGTGGCAGAGAACCCCAGGAGCTGCTGGTGGTGGGGGAACCCCCAAGCTCCTGGCCGCCTCAGAGGAACCCCTGAGCTCCTGGCCGCCCCAGGGGGCAAGGAACCCCTGGAGCTGCCGGTGGGGATGGGGGGGAACCCCGAGCTCCAGGCCGTGGCAGGCCCCTGGAGCTGCGGGAGGCGGGGACACCCAACAGCTCCTGACCCTCATGGGCAGCAGGGGCCCCCAGAGCTGCAGGTGGCGCCTAGCCCTTGCACAGCTGCCCTGCTTCAGGCGGTGTGGGGACCTGCAGATCCCCATTTTGTCAGGGATATTTTTAGTAAAAGTCACGGCCAGGTCACGGCTTCCGTTAATTTTTCTTTTTTGCCCGTGACTGGTCCGTGACTTTTACTATAAATATCCGTGACAAAATCTTAGCCTTAATCATAATAAATGTACATAAAATTAAAAGGACAGCAGTGTCAGAATGGAATAAAGACTAACAGAAAAGTTTTCAGAAGCGCCTACATCAATGGGATTTAAGTTCCTGAATTTCCGAGGGTAAAATTTTCAGAAGTGTCCGAGTGAGCACACTACAGATGTTCACCTACTCTTCTTTCAGTTTTTCACAGCCAGCCAGAAGACGGAACAGTGATTTGGAAGGTAGGAAACTACTCAGTCTGGCTGGGATCCCAGATTAGAATCCCAGCATGGTTATTTCTTCATTGCATCTGTGGGATTCACCGGGGCCTGTTTCAAACATGCATTCTGTGGTGACGACGCAGGAAAGGAAACAGAACGCCAGGTCTGTGGTACTAGCTTCTAAAGCCTCAAGCCAAAAGCCTCTCAGGAAAAAACCTTTCCTGGGGTTTTTATTATATTACTTGCTTTGTTTACAACACTTCCCATTGGTACAAATCTTGCGCATGAAGAAGACATGCAGTGTACAATTACATAAGATAGCAAACCCATTTCTTGAGCGCGTGAACACCAGCTGCAAGGGTGATGTCAGGTTGCCAATAAGTTTTTCAAACACAGACACTAGAACAAGGTCACTCCTGCCTCGTTGCCAAGGGAACAGTTTGCCGTTCTCCTGGGCTTGTGATTAGGGAGCAACACATTCCTACAGCATTCCCCAGAGATGCTCAAGGTCAAATTTTCATCCCAGGCTTCCACTTTTGCACGGCCATTTCCAGTCATGCAACTGATTGCATCACAAAAATGGTCTCTTGCATGCACAGAATGGGGAGATAGGCACCCAATTGCCCAATATGCATGTGCAAAACTGGTAGGTGCAATGAACTGCATGTGCAAAAGTGGGTAAGCAGAGCCAGAGGTGGTCTTAAGGCTCCAAATCCTTAGCTCCGTCCCATTAATAGAACAACAGCCTTAACAAGCGTGGGGGAGGGAGGGCAGCTCTGCCATACAAACCGAGCTTCCAAAAAATCCTAGGGTAAGGTGCTCTGAAACGCCGTTGTCTCACTAGATTTCTCTGACCCTAGTGGGGAGAAGTCAATATGAGCGGCAGGTTCTCTGAAGAGGTGCTGCAAACACCACAGTACAGCCGCCTGAACAGTCAGGCTAAGCACACCCAGTTTGACCACACCCCATCTGACAGGATAAGAACACGCGAACAGCCGCTCCTGTCTGGGCAAGATGTAGTTAAAAAATAAATAATGAAGCACAAGCCCACAAAGGGGGACATGCAGCGCGTGGATTCGTGTTCTCACCGCTATTTTACGGTGGTGACAACAACCCAACTACGCAAACCGCGAGCACCTACCCAGGGCCTTCTGATAATGCAGGGAAAAGCCAATGATCTGCTCGCTGTTGTACTCTGGACGCTCCCAGGACACTAAGACAGTGGTGCTGGACAGGGAGACGGCTGACACCTTCTTGGGAGCACTCGGCAAGCCCTCCCGCACAATGACCGAGAGCTTGGCCGTGGCACATGCCATCCCCAGCCTGTTCTCCGCCACACACTGGTAATAGCCGGCATCCTCCAGCCCGATCTGGTTGATCACCAGGCTGCCACTGCTCTGAATTTTCACCCGGCCATTGGACAGGATGGGCTCTCCGTTCTTCAGCCAGTGGATGATGGGGGCGGGCTCCCCTTCTGCTTTGCAGACAAACCTGGCAGTGCTGGCGCGGGTGCGGGAAATAGTTTCAGGAGACTGGGAGATGCTGGGAGGTGCTGAAAGAAAAGCAGAGAAATGAAGGTAAAAAAAGAAAAAGCCAAGGGAAGCCCTTTCCTCCCAAGCCACATGATGTCTGAAACAGCTCCAGGTCCACGGGAGGGTTTGCCAGGCAAACTCTTGAGGCTTAATTTAGACTAGCCCCCAAAAATCTGTATCAACTCGCTCCCTGTTCCTAGGCTGTTCTCCCCAACGGCTTCCATTGTACTGGAAGTTAGTTGCTGATACTGATTTTCACAAGGGAACTCTGCAAAAAGAAAAAAAAATGCTTCAGTAAGTCAGAAAAATGAAATGGTAATAATGCCATCGAGAACGATTCCACGCTCGGATTGAATACTTGGGTCCTGATGGCTTTCTTCTAATTACGTTCCCCTCTTAGACACAGCGAGGGAGCCGTGAGCATCACTTCTGGGGGAGCCTCTGGATGTGGTTTTAGGGGAAAAGCAATTATCCGGAGTGGTGTTTACATCTGAAATGTTCATTCTGTCAACTCACCAAGGACGCTGAGCTCAGCCGCAGCTGTAACGAACTGCCTGGTCTGGGGTTTGTTCGCCCGACAGACGTACACGCCAGAGTGATGGGGCTGGGCCCGAGGAATTAGGAGGTTGGTCCGGCCTAACACAATCACGTCCGTGGAAATAGGCTTTCCATCTGCGGAGCACAAAAACACACACCATGGGTGTAAAGCCTACATTAGGGATCCCGGCGAGACACCAGGGGTTCCAGATTTTAACTAATAACCATCAGGAAAAGTTCAATTCCTAGCTCTGCCTCTGTACATGACCTTGAGCAAGTCAGTTGGTCTCTTTGGGCCTCAGTTTCCCATCTGTAAAATGGGGATACATGGCACTTTTTTTCTCACCCATTCTTTATCCGTCTTGACTATTTAGGCGGGAAGCAATTTGAGATAAGGACAATCTCTTACTACATGTCTGTGCAGCACCAAGCACAAAATAGTACTGATCTGACTATACTTGAGGTACTACTGTAATATAACTAATAATAAAATGGCTTCTATTCCCATCTCTGCCACTGACTTCCTGCGTGTATAGCCTCGGTCAAATCACTTAATCACTCTGTGCCTCAGTTTTCTCCTTTGGATAATGTAGATAGTATTACTTTCCTGCTTCTCCCAATGGTTGTCAAGAGTCTTCATTGTTTGTGTGGTGCTCGGACGCCTGGACAACGAGCGCCCTGGAAATACCTTTAAGTAAATAAATGAAATAGCTGACCTCCGGAAACTAGGGGCAGTTTTTAATTGGGCAATTCAGCTGGATAACTGAAGGAGAACAGAGGAAAATGGGGAAGCCACTTCTAGCTCTATAACTTTTAATTAACTTAATTTACTTCCTAATGCAGAACCAACAGGAAGAATAATGCTGCATCCAAGCAATTTTTTAATGGTCTATGATAAAAAATTAAATGCCCCAAACTTCATTAACCTAGAGCTAAGGTTGGCCAGCTAAGCCTTGTGTCTTTCCAGAATATGGAGAGTAGCTAACGTAAATCTCTGAAAACCAGGAAATATACCAATATCACCCCTGCAAAACAACCTTAACAGTGCCCTCTTTGTGCTAAGCCCCAGCACGTCAGTAATGCTCATGCTAGCACTCTACACTCATAGATGCTACAGAACAATTTCAGATCAACCTTAACTGTAGCAGAGCACATGTTCTGCTACAATGAAAGTCAAAGTTGTTCTGCTGCTGAGCAATGGGTGGCATCTTTCAGGTGCAGAGCTGTGGTGCGGATTTAATCCCATAGTTAATGCGTACACCAGCTCTCCCCAAGAAGAACCTATATTGCGCTGGCAAGGAGTAGCGGCTGAGAAGAAGAGATAGCCCATGCTTATCATTTTCACCATTGGGTTTCTCCTAGGGATGGACTCAGACTAGTTCTCATCCTGATCCAAACTGATCCCAAGTTTGGATCTGGATTTAGTCCATTATAGCCAAGAAGTTGTGACTTGGAGCCAAACATCCCCTATGCTCCGGGGTGTCTGGATTCAGATCATATCTAAGGCTGACATATGTGAAGAAGATAATTGCTTTATTACATGCCTACTGGACCAGGTTGAGGGATGGAATCCAGCGTGTATTTGTCTGCTAAAAACCCCACAAGCACATTTTGTTTTACAAGGAGCCAGAGCTGTGAGTCACCATTAACTGAAGAGATTTTTTCCTGTCCGGCTCCTGGAAGCTGTACTGAACTGGCTCACAACACGGAGGATGCAATGAATTTGCCAAACCCGCTAATAAATTTTTATGTACCTGCTCTGGTTACTGACCTGTAACATATTAGCCAGTTTGATTACATGGGAATTTACTGGCCTGGGTTTTGAAACCTAACCCTGTCATGAACAGCAAAGGCTGAATTTTCCACATGAGCCTTTAACTTGGAACTGACAAAGATTTGTCAGATCAGCTACATTTGAAGACTTCTGGTCTGTTTCTTGCTGTGGCTAGGACACTGCCATGCACAGCACTGTCACTTTGAAAGCAGGTTAGATCCAGGGACTCTACAGTTCTCCTGGCATGAGAAATTTCAGCAAAGAAAGAGAGTTCTTGGAGAAAGTGATAAATGGCTTTGGGGCCCGATCCTGGGGGGTGATGAGGAACCTCAGCTTCCCCCTGAAAGCCCGGGGAGTTGCGTTTGCCCCTTGCCTGGTTTTGCTGGAGGACTTCTCGGGGCCTCAGAAGAGGCGTAAGAGAAAAGGGCATGAGCCCCGTTTCCGTTCCTTCTCAGAACACCTTTAATTGTAACGTCACTGCTGCAAAGCTCCAGGAGCCATGTTGGGTCAGAGGCCCAGCAGTTCCGCAGAACAGAGAGCAGAGAGCAAAGGGGGGGGGGGGGGGGGGGGGGGGGGGGGGGGGGGGGACGCTGATCCAGGGCTGGCCAGGAGTCAAAATGGCCTGGGTGTAATTTAAAGCAACCCTTGGCTTCTCTGCCACGCAGGCCACCCTCACCGCTCCTGCCCCTGCTGCCACCTTGCTCCCAACAGACCTCAGAGGAAGCCGGTGGCCTGGGGCCAGCGACGTTGACTCTACGTGACCCAAGCGTCCCCTCCTTTGGGGAATCCCCAGCCTGCTCTGTGTCAGGGTTTCAGCAAAGCAAGGGGACTTTGGGCCAGATTGAGTTTGTGGGTGAATTTGCTTGCGGGAGGAGAGGCTTCTCTGGGCGCTTGTAAATCCAACCTGCCAGCTACCAGGCTGAGCTAGACGGGGCTCCTGCACTCATGCCTGATTTACTATTTTAGAGCTTTGTTTTAGGTTCCAAAACTAACCCACCAGCTTCCAATGCACGGTGGGGAACCATGCTGTTCGCCTCCTCCCCCCCGCACAAGAGCCGTGCTTGCTTTCGACCCTGGCACTGCTGCTAACATCTCTGCTACTTCTGCAACTTCTCATCCTTGCTGCGATACAGGACAAGCAAGAACACACCAGCTGGAAACTCTGCCATTCCCCCCACCCTCCAAAGACACTGCCCTAGAAAGCAGAGGCTGAAACGCCTTCCTGGCTCCACAGCCCACTGCTGGCTGCATTCAGTCAAGGCTGGAGACAAGCTTCCTGCCTTCAGGGTACACAGATGCATCCTCCTCCGAGTGGTGACTTGCTCCAAGGAGCAAGGGCTACTCACTCACGTAGCACCGTGGATGTGGAACGCAGCTGTGAGCAAAGTCTACACACCCTCACATTTACTGCCCGGTCTGCGGATGGGCCCACAATTCAGTACCCAGGCGTTCAATTCAGGAACGCAACTGCAGGCACATTTTGCACACGTGCCTGAACACAAGTGACTTGAAAACCTGACCCCAGATGGAACTGACGATACCAACCGTGGCAGAGTTTGAACTGGCAACCTACAGTTGAAACCCTCAACGTTACAGGACTTTACTCATCCAGAGGCTCTCAGCCCTGCTTTTTACTGCCATTTTGGAACCAAATCTATTTTAATAACCACATGAAGACTGATGAGGCCCAATCAGCTCATCCATGCTAAGCCAAGGACATTCAGACCGAAAAACCGAGGACACGGAACAAACATTTAAAAATCAAAGCTTGAAAGAAAATGCGCCACCCATTTAATTAAAAAAAAATACCCAAACTCTCACTGTGCTAATTGACTCTGATTACAAATACTCTGGGCACTCACCGCTCTCGATGTAGCAATGAATAAATTATGTAGCATGGGAAAGATGGGTATTGCTAATTATGTCTTAAGTACACGGGATGAAATGCGAGCTTCCAGCTTTGCCTCAATGATTAATCCTCCCTGGTTTTATTCCCCACACTGAGACCTGCAAGCTTTTTCTTTGGGGGGGGGGGGATGGCAGGGGGGGAGAATAGGAAATATTAGCACATCCAAAAACATTGCCATTAACGAAGAGCCACTGGAGCAGGCAAGTTACAGCTAAAGACTGATTTGATTAAATGGTTATGAGGGCGAGGAAAGAGGCTTATGTCATAACATAGATTTTTGAAAACTCTTTCAATATGTTTTTGATAAGCGGTTCCTGGGCTGAGAACCCACATGGCAAGTTTCAATGTTTAATCGCTCATGTGAAACATCTGATACAACCTCAGTGATGGTTACACCAGCCCTACTTCTGATTTAGGCTGATCAGCCCTTGACACATGAAAGTCAGTCTGGCTCGTTTATAGGCACTTAATGATATCTTTACTCTTTCTCAGACCTTCATTATCTTGACCATAAGAGGATTTACTTTTGAAAACAAGGCCTCTTAAATGACTAAAGAATCTTTATCACATTTTATAATCCTGCAAGATAACAAAAGTTATTTTTACAAAGCAACAGCAGATGTGTTAAAATTCCCACTAACCTTTCTGAACCGCTACAAAAGAAGTGTCATCAACCTGACCCTTATACGGTGACCTTCAATGCTCTGGCTCATACAATACTGCCATGACTAATTTAGATCAAAAGGCATCAAGTAACCAGAATTTCATATATTTTACAGATCAAACAACTATAAAATAAGTTGCATGCTTTGTAACATTTTAGATTCAATTAGTAATCCCAGCTCAGAAAGGACACTCCAGATCACTGCGTACGCAGCCCCCATATGGTTGTTAGCAATTTAAAAAGCGCCCTCTCTTCCACAGCACTTTCTCTTTTAATAGATTTTAAAAATAAAGTGGCCATAGACTCCTCTCAACATCAAAAGAATAATTATCTTCATTTACCCTGTCGTATCCAAGAGACAAATGGGGTGGGATCTGCAGAGGCCATGCACTCCATGACTGCACTCTCTCCAACTACCACTGTGGTGTTCTCTGGAGCAGCAACAATTGCGACATCTTGAGTCACTGCTGGTTGGGAACCTAATACACCCAGAAAAAAATAAAAGAGGGATAAAAGAAACTCTTTAAAGAAGTGTTGTCCACATTCCATTTATATTAAAAACCAGCAAATTCCTTACCTCCATTTCAAGAACAAACCAACACAGAAAACAGACTTTTCTTCCTCACCGTTTACAGTTTGTTACATTTTTTGCAGTTCACTCAACTGGTCTGGTCAATTTCACCTTTGTTTCTGGTTACGTTCACTTCCTGGTTCTCCAATAGGAGTGCCATGTGGTTGGGTTTGGAATGGACACGCAAGACTTCAGGGGAATGAGTTTCTATTTCAGATCAACATTTCTGTTCAAGTCAAGCCCTGAACCACAAGCCCACAGCCAAACATTGTGGGACTTTGAGAAAGTGTAGAACCTGATCTAGAGTCCTGCTCCGATCCTGCAATCAGATCCATGTGAGTGAAAGTGGATGCACGCCTGGAGCCCCACTGAAATTCTGCACCAACCCCAGGTCCCATCCACATAGCTCCAATAAAAGGAGCAGGCACTTTGTGGTTCAGAACCTCTACAATGGACCAAACCAGAACCCCAGATCTGAACGTGCCCATACTTAGAGGAATTCCAATGCAAAGTTTGATCTGGAATCTACATCTTAGGTCCATCTAATTTCTCGTCACATTAAATCTGGTAAGCAGCCCTCATCACTATTATTTTTGTCTTCAGAACAAAAGTTCAATTTAATTCCTTAAAATGGTAAAATCTGAGACTCACTCTAGTTGACAGCGTCCCTTTAACCAGCACAAAGGGCCAGATTTTCAAGGGGCTTTGAGCCCAGCTGCAAATGCTGTGTGCACAAAATGAGTGGCCAAATTCCACAATATTGAAGCTGGCAAAGTTTTGCGCTGAACTGTGGTCAGGAAAGGGTTTTCTAAGGATTCCTAGGAAGCTACCGAATAAAATACTAGAAATCCTTGGTTTGTGTTCACATTTATTACTTCACCCATTAATAGCTGAATCCTGTCTGTAAGCAGAAAGGTGGATTTCTTTGTTTTTAATATGGAAAGGTTGTCACAGACATTCTGATAACCAGCTGCTAGGTTTTAAAGTCAACCACTGAGAGATCAGTTCTCTGCACACCACACCTTCTTCATCTTTGTGCACAAAGAACAAGTCAAAATATATATATTACATACAACACACAGAGGTTATAGATGTATGTATAGATAATCCAAAGTGTTTATGCATTCACATAGTGCAGTGGTTCCCAAACTGGGGTTCGTGAACCTCTGGGTGTTTGCGAAATGTTACAAGGGGTTTTCGGGGACAAATTCCCTAATGGCGGACAGAGCTGTCCCTAGGGACCCTGGGCAGCACTGGGCCAGCAGCCCGGAGCCCCTGGACTTCCAAGAGCTAAGCAGATCAAAGCAAGCATATCTATCACACTGAGGAGATTTAAACTTCAAGACTCCTTATAAGAAATGGAAAGAGAGGCGGATATTGTTTGCTTTTTTCAAAATTAAATAGGCAGCTAGTATTGTTTTTAAAATTATTATGAAGAACAAGTTTAAGCTTTGTTGTAATGTGCATTGTTTGCCTGGACTGCTCAAGCCCTGAATGCTTGTGTAAGAGGAACTCTTTGAGCTGGCTTCTTAAATACCTTCATGCTGTTTCACATCTGATACTGTACTCCTTGATTAAACATAGGAGCCTTGTCTTATAACAGGCTTAATCAAAGTGATACAAGCTACGAAAGTAAGATCTTGGAAGAGTGTTGCCATTTTCATAATGGAATAAAAATGCTGTAATGATAAATAATATTTAATAATAAATAGTGTGTAATAAGCATGTCATAAAAACAAATTTTATATTTCCAAGATCGCTGCTTTTATAATTTATACTCAGGTAAAGGAGAAAATCCCGGGAAATATTAATTTTTAGGAGGGGGTTCGCGAGACTTGACATTTTAGTGAGAGGGGTTCACAGGTTGTTAAAGTTTGGGAACCACTGCCATCGGGAGATATATCTATATCCAGTGTGTATACGTATCGCACAACTTCCGGACACTCAAGAGTGGTCTTTTTTTGTTTGAAGTGAACCTTCTGACTCTCTCAGCCAAGTTTATAAGAAGAGGTTACGGAGACAGGAAATGTCTTTGCCAAAACTAGAATTTTTTTATCAGTTGACAGCAGCTTTGACACTAGGAATCCTATTCTCTCTGCAGCTAATGAAAGAGATTCACTGCCTTCTGAAGGATGCTGTTGTTTTCTTCGCCAGGTAGGAGATCTGCAGTGCTGCACAATACAAGTAATTACAACCTCCCTTAAGGTTGCTCTAGGTGCTCTCGTTCCTGACAAAGAATATTGTGTGCCTTCAAGGACGCTGTCAGTCTTTTAGACCCTGCTTGCTGAAGTTACCAAAAAGTGCACGTCATTTTCACTGGGAGGCACAGGCAGCCCTTTGGTGTCCATACAAGAGGGAATGCTTCATTGTCAGCCTGGTGTATTGCAAAATGCATACAGTAATATCAGTATTTAGCTCTTAGATGCAGCATTTTTAATCCTCAGATCTCAAAGCACTTCATAAAGATGGGTAAGTATTCTCTCTACTTCACCTCCACCCTGCCCTCCTCAATTTCTTCTTCAGCAGAGGACAAGGTGGAAGGAGAAGAAAAGTAAGAAAGCTAATATACCATGGAGTAAGATTAATGGAAGAATTCCTGGTTCCTAATCCAGCTGCAGCAGCTTCCCTCTGGCAATAAAACTGCTTCCTTCCAGAAGCCAGACCCACCCATGACTGTCCGTGAAAAGGGGCCATGCAACCACTTTCAGGGTAAAGGGATGGGGTGATTTATCTGATGAACCATGGGTGAAATTGTGCCCTCAATGAAGTCAAAGGAAGTTTCGCTCTGGACTCCAACAGGGTCAGGATCTACCACGAAGTGTCTTGACTCTGTAAGTTCCTGGTTTTGATCCCAATGCGTCACCACTTTAGGAACAAACCAGCAAACAAAGCCACATACAGCATGAGGTTACAGTCTGCATCTGCCTAACGTGAGCTAAAATAAGGGGAATTGAATCTTATGCTTTAAGGGGTAAACTGATCAGGTGGGGGGACAGGAAGGAACTGCAGAAAGACACATGCACCCAGCATGCTCTCCAGCTCTCCTACATGTTCAGCACTGCAGAGTTGCACAGCTGTATTAGTAGGGTGAGAGGGTTGTTTAACTCCGAAATATCAAACATTGGTCACGACCAGAGGTAGAACAATGGATTTGCTGGACAAGTGATTTTATCTGGTATGGCAATGCATGTGTTTCTAAGGATTAACTGTGGCACTGTCTACATGGTGAATAAGGGGTAGATATGCGCACCAGTCCCAGGATATTAGAGAGACAAGGTAGGTGAGGTAATATCTTTTACTGGACCAACATCTGTTGGTGAAAGAGACCACTCCCCAACAGAAATTGGTCCAATAAAAGATCTTACCTCACCCACTTTGTCTCTCTAATAAGGGGCAGAAGCAGTTCCATGGCTCCTCTGAAGGCATAACATTCCCCCAACAATTTCACTCCGAGTCAGTAAAATACCTTAATGCTCCCAGTTCCTTGGCACTGGTGCAGAAAGTCACAGCTTTGCCGACAGCCTTGCGCCGGAAGCTGTTTTCAGCACAGAAATTCTAATTCTCAGACCAAGACATGACACAGGACATTAGAAACAGAGCATCAACTAAGGTGCAGGTAGTAGAGCAAAACACATAAGCTAGGGATGCAGCGTTAGGATATTCCCACTTGGATTTCTCGGTCTTCCTGGGTGGCAGCTGGCATTGGGGCTAGATTGTCTCACACATCTGAGTTTACCCTCTTTGCTGGGATCCAACAGTATCAAGTGATTCTAACCCCTCCCCCTTTGGTCTAATTAGAATCTCTTCATTCACATGAAGTCATCAATATTAGCAGAAAAAAAGTGTGTATTTACAGCTTACAAACCAACATGGCCCTCTATCTTATACTGGTGCCCATCACCATGGTATCTAAGGGCTGGTCTACACTAACCCCCCAATTCGAACTAAGATACGCAATTTCAGCTACGTGAATAACGTAGCTGAAGTCGACGTACCTTAGTTCGAACTTACCGCGGTCCAGACGCGGCAGGCAGGCTCCCCCGTCGACTCCGCGTACTCCTCTCGCCGAGCAGGAGTACCGGAGTCGACGGCGAGCACTTCTGGGTTCGATTTATCGCATCCAGACAAGACGTGATAAATCGAACCCAGAAGTTCGATTGCTTGCTGCCGAACCAGCGGGTAAGTATAGACGTACCCTAAGTGTCTAGTTAACCTCCCCCTAGTGTTGGTTGACACCAACCCCAAGGCTAGCAAGGAAACAGATTCTTATGCGCAAGTAAACACATAATCTAGAAATGAAACGAATTATGTTAGTGTAAAGTAGCAGGATTATCAACAAGGAAGTTTGGGATTAGGAAATGTAACCCACTGACATGTCTGTTTCAAACTAACCTAGAAGATTTTCCTGCAGTGTTAAAGAGTGGAGACCCAGAAACACAGGAAGCTTCTGCAGTCTTCTGCCAACAAGGCACCTATGAAACCCACTCCATGCACCATGCTGTGAACTGAATGTGGGTTTTTTACTGGAGTTGGGTCCAACTCCCCAAAGTTTAGATCTGGATCCAAATTTTGCTGAAGTCCCAAGTGTGTCTGAATGAAGACCTCTTCTTTAGAATAATGCAAACATGCTCTAAAAGAGGACTGGGGAAAATCCCTGAGTCAGGACCCTGTGCAGAAAAAGACCAGTAGCCAGCATTTGTCCACCAGATGGAAGCAGAGATACAAAGAAGCATGCTGTGGACTTCTACCCTGGGCAACATTTATATTGGACATTCTTAAGATTTAACCTCCAAACTCTTTCCAAATACCCAAGCAGAGTCGCAACGAAGTTCAGAGAAAAAGTAGGTATTTCGGCCAGGTCTGAGCACGTATCATCACTTTACACAATGGAACTATTACATTAGAAGG